CTAATGATAATAATGTATTATGATAATATTGTTATGAACATGTCTCTGTAGCAGCTGCTATTTAAAATTCTAAATAATACAAATGATAAAACTCCAGTTATCTGTTATTTCCTGTGTTGACTTGTGTGCGGACTGAGAGTGTGACGGAGACACGTTTGGAGAGCACATCTAAAAGATGAGATCAGGAGCTCACTCCGACAGATCCAGTCACCGGAGGAGAAAAGAGAAGCGGCCATTGGCGGAGGGGCCGGTGACGTGAGCAGCCGCCGGGCAGTGTTTTGAGGATGGGGAAAGTTTGTCAGTGTGAGGACGAGTCGCTGCTGGAGACTGAACACCGACACGACCTGTGAAGTGGATGAGCTCGGCTTTGTTTCTGTTTACCAGCTGTTGGACATATCAGCAACATCTCTGCAGCAGGGACCCTCCGCTGCTCTCACACACAAGGTAAGAGTCTCAGTGGAATGAAGCTCATGACACACTTCTCAGCCTCTGTGAGTGGAGGTACAGCTGCTGACCTCAGGGTGTTCTATTCGAAATCTAAGATATTCATGTTGGACTGCGTATGTGCATGTACCTGTACATTTCTGTACATGACAGGCATCAAATCAAATTACAGTGTCCATGACTTCAGAGGACATAACACTGATTCACATTCATATCACGGAGACTTCTTCTGACTTTAACAGCATTTACCACTTGTCTAATCCTAATCATAACCCAAACCTAAACGGAAATCAAATTTAAACCTAAAACAAGTCATCATGTCAAAATGTAATGATTTGTTAAAAGAAAGACAAATCCCCATAATGTGACAGTGTAAACAGATTATGGTCCACAACATGGGCATTACCTGGACCACACACACACACAGAGGATCATTTTGATGTTATATAATAGTCCAATATCTTTGTCTATCATGGTTCAAATCTAGCATTGATCTAAATCCCTCACACTAGCAGGAGTAACTCTCTTGTTGAAAAGCAAGTCCGATTATTTTCTGTTGATGCATAAAACATGAAACAGTTCTTCTTAGGAACTTAAAACTCCTCAATTCTAAGATTGATGATTATGAACCTTCCACCTCTCATCCATTGACAGTTGGACAGCAGAGATCACAGAAATTGTTGAGAACAAATAAGAAACCAAATCTGTTTTTTTCAAATTCACAAGATCTGACAAGAGAACAGAAATGAATGCAGCAGTCTTTCATTCACTTTTCAGTCTGGACACTGAGTGGCTGGATGGAAGACATGCTGATATTCCTCCGTAACTCACCAGGAGCACCAGGACACTTCCTGATGGCTCATGGTTAATTTGGGCCTGAACAGTCAGCTTGATGAGTGACAGAATGACAAGCAGCAATGAGCTGATGGAGCTCCTGCATCGGGTGCACACTTCACCTGAACTGATAATAATCATCTGTCGGTGATGAGCGGTCAGAAAAGTAAAGAGCTGGAATCACAAAGCAGTCATGTGATTTTTGGTTTGCCATGTTCAGAGTGAGAGAGGACATAAAGGAAAA